TGGGGCATGGGGGGCACGGGGTTATGGGGGACACAGGGGGCATGGGGGGCACAGGGGGCATGGAGGGCTGTGGGGCACGGGGGGCTGTGGGGCATGGGGGGCACAGGGGGCTGTGGGGGCACAGGGGCTGGGGGGTGTGGGGGGCACGGGGGGGTTGTGGGGCATGGGGGACACAGGGGGTCTGGGGGGCACGGTGGGTACAGGGATTTGGGGGCTATGGAGGGTTGAGGGGGATGGGGGCTTTGAGGTCTCTGGGGGACTGGGAGGTCCGAGGTCTCCCGGTGCTGTAGGACATGTGGGTGCAGCGAAGCCAGGGGGACATGGGGGGCTCTGGGGGCTCAGGGGGCACAGGGACCGTGGGGTCCAAGCGCTGTGCCCGCCGCAGGACACGCGGGTGCGGGCGCAGCCGGGGGGGCGCGGGCAGCCCCCCGTGGTGGCCGTCACCAACCGGCTGGGGGGGGAGGAGGTGACCCACGCCCTGGTGGCCGAGAGCGCGGCCGAGGCCCAGCGCTGGCTCGAGGCCTTCGAGCAGCACCTCTGCGACTTGGGTGAGCGAAGACCCCCGGGAACCCCCACCATCCATGTGGGACACCCCATCCTGGTGGGCCCCTGTCCATGTGGGACCCCCATTATTACAGGACCCCCAAGCCCTGTGGGACCTCCCCAAGCCATGTGGGACCCCCCTGAGCTGTGTGGGAACCCCCCTAGTCCGGAGGGATCCCCGTCCCAGTGGGATCCCTTCATCCTGCTGGGATCCCTCCATCCCTGCAGGACTCCCGACCCACAGGGAGCCTCATCATCCCGATGGGAACCCGTCTTGTGGGACCTGATCCCACGACCTCCATCATCCCTTTGGGACCCCCATCATCCCAATGGGACACCTCCCTTCTCTGCAGGACCCCCCCAACTCTGTGGCCCCCACTCCTAGTGGGACCCCCACCCCGTGGGACCCTATCCCACTGCAGTCCCCATCCTGGGATGACCCTATCCCATGGGACCCCCATCCCATGGGACCCCCATCCCAGTGCCAGCCCCCCCATGCCCTGCTGTGCCCCCGCCCCTGTCCCCCAGGCCAGTGGAAGCAGTGCTGTGAGGAGCTGATGCGGATCGAGGAGCCCCCCCCGCGCCGCCCCCCGGCCCCGCTGCCCCCCCAGGGCTCCCTCTACCACCAGACGGGTGAGTGGGGCCGGGGGGGCCGGGAGGGTCGGGCTGGGGGGGCTCTGCTCTGTCTCCCCCTCTCTGCTCTCTGCTCGCTCCCTAACGCTGCTCTTCTCTCCTTGCTGTTCCCCCCCTCTGTCCCCCCCTCTGTCCCCCCTTTTCTGTGCCCCCCTCTCTGCTGCTCTGCCACCCCCCGGTGCCCCCCCAGCCCCGCCGGGCCCCCCCGGGCCCCCCCCCGGGCGAGGGGCTCCTGCTGCAGGAGAACGTCTCGGCCGAGATCCGGGCGCTGCTCAGCTCCTACTACAGCGACAGGTGATGGGGGGCACGGGGGGGCCGAGACCCCACCACCACAGCACCCCTGGGGACAGCAAAGGGCCCCCAGGACTCCCCCCCACAGCACTGGAGGGAGCAGTGGGGGGGCCCCGAGAACCCCCAAACCCATGGGGGCTGTGAGGCAGTGCTGGGAGGAGTGGGGGGGTGACTGTGGGACCCCTGAGACACCCCCCCACCCGCGGGGGCCATTGGAGGGGAAATGGGACGTCTGGGGGGACCTCTGAGCCATCCCCTCCACAGCCTGTGAGGGCCATGGGGCACCTCTGGGGGTCTGGGGGGGTCTGGGCATAATGGGGGGGCTGTTTGCAGCCCCCACCCCACGGTGCAGCAGCGGGGGCTCCGGGGGGCGTCTGGGGGAGCCGCTGACCTCCCCTTCCCCCCCCTTTGCCCCCCAGCTATTGACCCCTCAGACGACATCGCGGCCGTGACCGACATCCTGGCGCGGCACCGGGAGGGTCCCCGCCCGCCGGGCCCCCCCCCGTGGCTGTCGCTGTTCGAGGGGCCCCCCCCGCGCAGCCCCAGCCCCCCCCCGGCGGGGCCGCCCCCGCACCCTGTCCCTGGACGCCCGGCTCAGCACCCTCAAGGGCCGGGGGGGCCCCCCCAGGCCCCCCAACTCCAGCTCCTCCAGCAGCGGCAGCAGCAGCCCGGGACCCCCCCAGCGTGACCCCCCCAGGCCCCTCCAGTCCCGGGTCTGACCCCCAGCACCGGGGGGGGGGCAGGGGATGGACCCCCCCCATCCCCTGCAGGGGCCAATGCCACAGGGGGCCTGGGGGGGTCTGGGGGCTCCCAGATCCTTTTCTGGGGAGAAACTGGAATTTCTGCCCCCTCTGTGCTGGGGGGGGACAGAGCTAAACTCCAAAAAGGGGGGGAAGGGGTGTTGCCCCCCCCCAGGGTGGGTGCTGGGGACCCCCCCACCGCGGGGTGGGTGCAGGGTCCCCCCAGGGTGGGTGCTCAGGGTCTAACCCGGGGGGGACACAAGGACCTCCCCCCCAGCTCTACTTTCCCTCACCTCTAACCTGGGGGGGGCAGCCCCCCCCCGGCAGGACACCCCCTTATTAATAATGTGCATTAATAATTTGCATTAAAATTTATTTAACAGCTGCTGTGTGTGATTGGGGGGGGGGGTCCCTGTGCCCGCGGGGGGGG